GTAAGATACTGCTTTACTTTAGATTTATCATTACAATCTTCCCTAAGAGGCAATCTCGATTACGAATCACATTAAATACATTTACATTATAACTGTCAAAAAGTACACTTCATCTTAATGTTTTAATTTTTTCTCATTATGAAATAAGAAGTTTGAAAACTTAAGACGAAATATTTTAAATCCAGGTTACAGACAAATATTTAAGCAAAATAAATTTTGTTAAAGTTATTTTTAGTAAATTGGATCAGTATTGATCTCTTTTCTTTCAAAGTATTTTGTTAAATTCTTCTACTAATTATTATGTTTCCTCATTTAATGATTTGTAAAATTTGTAAATTCTGTTTAAATATCTTAAATATTATTATGCTAACTCAATTATACTTATTTTTGTTCCCTTTGTGTTCTCCCCAGAATAAAAATTTCTTAAGTCAATAAACAAATTGAATTTTATGTGATCATTTTAATTAAGTTGTATTGTAGAAAATAAATATCTGTAACATAATTTCCATAAGTTTGTGTAAGAATCCTTCAAATTTTTGTATCTCTAATACATAAAAATCACTTAATTTTAAGATTCATTTAAGATTTTCACTTTATATTTTTTAATTAATTAATTGATATTTATAAAATTAAATAGCAGATTTTTGTTTTCTAACATATAACAATATTCTCCATGGTTTTGAATGAGGATCCGTATAAATTAAATAGGCAAGAATCATTCAAAATGTGCATTTTTTTATTACTTAATTAAAAAATAATTTAATTAAAATATATTTTAAACTAACTTTCATGCTTTATTTTTTTAAAATTAATTTTATATTTTAGGAAATAAATATCTATATTATGTAATCGCGTTTACAAAAATCTTTAGAGAGGGGTGCAGTAAGGAAATAATATGCTTTACAAAATATTTTATTACCTCAGGTGTCCGGCTTTACTCAAGAAAAATCCCCAAAAGGGAGATACGGATGCGCTCTGTGCACAACCCTTTAATCCGCCTATGATAACATGATATTCTCCATAAATTCGAAAGAGAATCCTTGAAATGTCTATATCTTGATTCAAGATTTACTTAATTATATTTAAAAATATTGAAGTAATTGGATATAAAATTTCATAAAATTATGTAACTTAATTAAATATAAATGTAATTAATTTTTAAAAATAAATATTAAATATATTTCCGCATCTTTATAGCCTAAAGGAATGTAATATAAATGTAAATGATATAAGATTCATAATGAATCTTTTACAGTTAAAAGTTATTTATAATGTTTTGAATCAAGATGCAAGCTTATAATAGAAAAGGAAATAATTTCTACAGTTTATTTTAGAAAGACATTCAACACTTCTTCATATATTACAGCATCAATCGTTGTCATGACAACAGTTTCCAAGAATCGTGTAAATATGTTCACTATTGAAAGAATTGGTATATCTACCAGTACCTCATAAATCAATCAAGATAAAAGCATTAAAAAAATAAAAAAATAATAGAATAATAAATAAAGATTTATTATACTTACTAAATTAATTTCTGCATTTTCTCGAAAAGTGATTTATCATATTCAATCTTATATCATTTTAATATTCTATAATTTTCCTATTTAAACATTACAAACATTTAATAAATAGAATATTCAATGTAGAAAATACTGAATATTCAAACAGTGATTTGTTAAATAATCTTTTCAGTGAGATGATATATCTAAAGAAAAATATATTCATAATTCAACAAATAAGCAGAAAAATGAGGTTTTTTCCCCCCTAGAAAAGATCAATTATCATAAGAAATAGCTTTAAGTTTCAAAATTTGCTTACTTAAACAGTGCAAGATTTAATAATAAATATAATTTCTAGAATAATTAATCTAAATCACTTTTTCACTCAGATTGAATGTATAAATAAAAATAATTATCTCTATTTTATCTAAAGGAAAATAAAGTCAATACATAGAGAGAAATGAGTATTTTAAGTGGAAATATTATATTCAATATATGTTTACTTTAAAAATAAATACATTTATTGCAATTTTAATTTTTATATATTTTGTATAAATTTTGTATTGATTTCCAATGTAAATTTTATTGAAAAATATTTTTATTACAAACTAGAAAAATTTTAAATAATATTTATAGTTCAAGTCAATAAAATAATGTAAACAAACAATGAGTTATTTGTAAATTTGATATTTATAAGGCAGTTATAATTTTGTATATAAGCAAATAATCTTGTAAACAATATAAAAATATTCTGGTTTATCTAAAGCTTTAAATATGGTTTTTATAATTCACTAAATCAAATTTATTTTAAAAATTCAATAGTTTTTTAATCAGAAACATTTAAATTAACATAAATTTTTTATTTTTATAAATTTAACATTTATAGCTTATCTTTATTTAATTAAATAAAATAATGGAAAGGAAAGAAGAATTATTTTTAAATTTAATATTGGCAAGACCAATTGTAATTTTGTTAGAGCAAATAAATCTGTAAACAATACAAAATATCTTATCTTCAGTTTTTTTTTTTATAAAATTGTAATTGATAGTTCACTTTCTTATAATTTTGCATGCAAATCTTATAAGATAAAGCTGAAGAGATTTTGTATACTTTAAAAGTATCTTTACAAATTGTTATGGCTTTTATAAAAATTACAATTGTTCTTGTAAACAATAAAAAATATCTTCAGTTTTATTTTATAAAAGTATTTTCAAAACTATAAGTATATAAAATAAACTATCAATTACTATTTTATATATAA